ATTTAGAAGGACAGAACTTTACAATCCCCATGTGCCAGATTTGAAGACGAAGCTAAACAACCCCCTAAATAAATCACTCATCAGTTGCAAAAGTGTGCAATGAGCTCAGGAAATTCTTTCCATACAGCCATCATGACTTGCATTTTCTACTACAGGATTTATACTGTAGGATACATGCCCCAGGTGCAGCTCAGAGTACACTTCACCGGATAAGGTTGGTGGGAGGAGATTAAAGGATGCTTTATCATTACTTTTAGCCTTCCTTCCCTCCCCTTTGTGCGTGGGTGGGTGTGAAAACCAACACATTCTCTGTTTAAAGAAATCCTTTCAAGTCACAGGATGCAGTAAAGAGTAGCAAAGAGCCTGGAAAACCAGGGCATCCACAAACCTGGCAAGGGAGGCTCAGAAACCCCAGACTAGACTGCAGGCTGCAGAATATGGGACAATAACACTACAAAATGAAAATAAAAGCAGGAAGRATAATGAACAGGCTTTAATAGCGAAGGGAAAATATCAGGATGTATTAGGAAAATATCAGTGATGCTTGAGTGGATGATAAAAAGAACGGAGAAATATGAGAGTTTTGTACAGATGAAAACACAGGAGAAAAGCATATGGAAAAATGCATTCTGCTGTAGACTTTTCCTAACAAATGTAGTTATAACAAAAAACCCTTTAAAGCAATTCTATTTCTTTCAAGCACATACTACATGAACACGTGGCCTTAAAATTTTTCTATACCCAAGCAAGCAAGCAGCCACAGAAGCTCCGCTTCCAAAGCGTCCACCACTGGATTCCCAACTTGCTTCCAGAGTCGGACACACTCTTTGTCTCACCACCCTATGGATCTGCACTTACCCCTGGCATCACAAAAACAGTAATTCAGTAAATAAAAATAAACCAACCCACACCCCATGTAACCACCAAAAGCCCTTCCCCTGCCCTCCCAGGATGTTTTAGCTGTACTAAAAAGGAGAAAAAAAATCCTGGTTTTGTCTGCAGCTGTGACAACCAGAACTAACAGCTTTAGTATTTAATCCCAGCAAAGCATCACTTCCATTAGTGAAATATTTTTATAGGGAAGATGAGTCTCCCCTGCAAACCTCTCCCACCACCTCCAAGTGTGAGCAAAGAGCGCAGCTCGGTCCACACCAAGTCCCTGTTCCTAGACCCTCGGGAGAGCACCTACAGCCCCACATGACTCATTCCCTGATGTTAGCTCCAGGCAACATATGCTTTATTTCCTATCACTTTGAGGGGGGCTGGGATAACTGGCCATAAGTGACCAATCTAGCATTTCAGGGGCTTCCCCCCCCCCCCCCCTTTTTTTTTTTGTTTTTTTTGAGGCTTAAAAGTTTCTGCAACTGTGTCACACTCCAGACTCAGTCGTTTGCTGTGCTACAGTGAAAGACAATAAAAAATAGATGACTCTCTCAAATATGCATTCATTTAAATTCTAGATGGAATGGACTTTGACAAGATTGCAGAGGCTTTTTTTGGTACACTTCCCAAAGCTATTCTAGTAACAGTGTAAGAAGCAATAAACTTTGAGCAACCATTACAGAAAACAAATGCTAGACAAATAACTTGGCTTGAAAGTTTTGTTCATCAAATCACCAAACAATTTTCCAATTCTTTCTATGTATACCACCAAATAATTCTGAATTTCAGTATCAGCTACTTAGAAAGAAAGGGAAGCGGGAAAGATAGGAAGAAGAAAAAAATAATAAAAAAGAAAAAAAAAATAGATTTAGCTCTTAGATAAGTTATTTTTAAAAAAAGATTGATTGAAAAAGACGCARGAACAGAAAGAACCAGCCATCCTCAAAGCTTATTTCACCAGTTCTGAAGCATTCTTGCTCCGCATTTCCAACGGTACAACTGATCAATTCTTGAGAGAAGAATATCTGAAAATAGGTCACATCCAAATAGCCATGTCCATCATAAAATCCAAACTAACTGTGATTTCAGATAAGTAAGAAGAGGACAAGTTTTTCTCACTGATTGGTACTATATAACTTACAAAGGACACAGTGGACATCACCAGAAGCCACAGCTCTGACAGATGAGGATATATTAGAAACATTTTTTTCTCCTCAGCCTCTTGCCCTCAAGCACCACCCCAGAACAAGAGCAGGAACCCTCTGCAAAACTCAGAATAYTGATGAATTGTGTCTTTTTTGTCTCCTTGATTCTTTTGGCCACAAGCTGAACATGTCCTAGAAACCTATACATTTTTTTGGAAATAAGAGCTGCCTTCAATGATTCTGTATTTTTTAAGAATCAAACACAGGGCAGCAGATCAGGGCCTAAACATAAAAGAATCCCCCTCAATAGAGGGAACTGGAAGAACTTCCACTTGATGGAACTTTACTCAGCTACTTATGCATCTCCTCATTTCTTACAACTGTTTAAAAACGTAACAATAGTGTTATTTTTTTTCAGGATATATGCATTGTCAATATTCATACATGCACTAATTAATGATCAACCATCTTAACCATGAGTATGTAAAACATAACATCTCAAGGTATTTAAAGAGCCACGATGTTTGAGAATTGCAACTTCTGTACTAAGGCTTATATAAAAATGTTAGCAAATTCTTAAAAATATACTTGAACCAAAAAAATGTTGGCTTTGCCAACCATAAGTTACAAGTTTTTTTCTAGTAARGAGTCAGTATCTAAGAAATAATCCTACAAGAACAACAATAGGCGAGGCAGGAACCTTCATACTTCTTCCATGAGGCTGACTAGGCAGAAYATCAAGGACCATCAAGACCTCCTGGCTTAAGAAAACACCAGTGCACACAGTACTTTAACAATTTCCACTGCAGCCTAACGAGCCAGCAGTACTGCTGAAGCAAATGCTTCCTCTCCTTGCTTCTTGCTCCTGCACACCAACGCATTTCAGGTTGCCATCTTTCCCTCAGGACATAATGTTAATCACGTTGCATCTGAAAAAAAAGCTTCTGTTTTTGTTAACTGCATGTAGGACCATGGGACCGGCTTGCTCTTGCGATGGGCATCRCCGATGAAGACGTGACATTACACCAGGACGCCAGACTCGGGTGCACATTTGCTGCAGAACTTCTGTGTAAAGCATCAGCCCTTTTATTACTGCTGCAAACACATGTATCTATCTTTGCAATTGTGTTGCTGCGAACTTGATTGCAGGAAGGAAGTAACAATACTTAGGAATATATTCATTTAATCAGGATTTTGATCTCAACCCCAAAAATAATTGCAATCAATTGCAAATATTCCTGTCTTCTATAGGTGCAAGATTACCAGAAAACGCCAACTGCTAATTTCTGCAGTTTYGACACAACACCAAGCCAAGATGAGACACACAGAAGGAAAACTTCTAATGACAAAAATAATACTATATTCAAAATAAAGTACAATATCATTTAATTGATTTCTAGACAAAGATTGCTTAATTACATATTTGTGATGAAGATCTCAAATTTACAGTGTGTCCCATAGGAGGAAAAAAACTGTATTAACAAAGTCAGGGTATTTTGTTTGTTTTGTTTTTTGTTTTGTTTGGTGGCTATGATAAAAAGTGTAATCATAGAGAGTGCGTTAGGAAAATATCAGCAAGGTGATTTAAGCTACACGACCGCTGCTGCTGGAATACTTAATTTATTTGCAAATCTACTCAGTAGTTAATACTTGGGCACAAGGAACAGCTTCAATTCTTAAACTCTAAAACAATTCAAGAGCCATCCTGGCTGTCTAGTCGCACAAGCTCTCCACATGCACATGTTTTCCAAGGTAAAATACCTATACTGGTTTTACCTTTGTTGAGATTAAATCATTATTACTTATTTAAGCGAACTTTTCAAATTTCACCTTGCTCCAGAGGAAGACAATTTTTAAAAAAGCTTCAATCATTTTCTCTCTGTTCCCCAAGGAAAATCTACAAGCATCATATAGGTGAAAGAAATTCCCATGGATTGATGTGGAAATTACTGTGAAAAGGTTTTGAGGAAAAGKTTTAGAGGAAAAAGATAAAATAAAGACCAAATTGAATCAAGTGCAATCAGTGAGCATCCCTTCTCTAAGGGCACCATTGCACACACACCAAGGGAAAYGACCAGGCAGCACTTGTGCAAAGACACCAAGGAAAGGGAGTCACAAGGAATACGCTAAGATTATTGTTATTAGTAGAGCATCACTAAGAATATAAAATGTTCAGATAATATTCAAAGACTATCCCATTCACCAGTAGCATTATAAAATCACAATGGCTATATGTGAAAACTGAAGAGCTGTAACATATCAGGCTAAGTTAGAGTTTGTGATTAGAACAGGAATACAGAAAAGAAATTATATGGCAGGTACTGTAATAACATGAATTCTGTGGGATACTGAAATACCACTGAATAAGCTAAGCATAGGGTGGTTGTTTTGTTTTTGTTTTCAAYGACCTTTGCAAATGGATCTGTGAAAATTCTGAGGTACAAATGTAGGCAGAGCATATAATGTCATTTTAAAGAATTGTATATAGCAATATATGAACATGAAAAACATCAACAACCAAAGTAATTTTCTAGACCTTCTACGCTACTTCTTCTCAACTGATTGGGTGTTACCTGAAGCAGACACACTCTTGCCAGTGATGGTGAAAAGAATTTGTAAATTTTATTAACATTTTACAAATCAGGAGATTCCCTTCATTATCATGTTCCTGATTTAGTGCATTACTCTTTTTGACAATGAGATTAGAACTAGGTAGCTTTAGGAAGGTRGAAACATTTTCTGTGCTAACATATAAAGGCTGTGCAATTACCACCACCAGCCAGTCACGGTCTTTCATTCTTTGAAGACCCAATTTCATTCTTTGTGCCTCTGCATTTGTACAACAAATGAACTTTACGCAATCTCTGACAATAAAATGTGTTTGGGTTATTGCTATATGAATAAACCATTTCCCAGAGAAAGCAATGTTGTTTCTAAAACATATTGCACAACCTCACCAGCTAGCACCCCGGAGGAAAGCAGGCTATCATTAAAAAAAAAGCAATTCCATGAGTTTGATTCCAGGAATTCGACTACAAGTGCATCATCAAAACAGGATTACTAAAGTCACTTCTATGATCTTAAGATTAAAAAAAGAAAAAAAAAAATCAATACCAAAACAGACAGCACAATAAAGAAAGAGAAGGACATATTGAAATTGGAAATGCATTTAACATGAACAAGGTATTAGTGCTAGGCAGTATGTATTTTTCTTATAAATCTGAAAAAGCAGTAAAGGTTTTCAGCTTATGTTCAGCTCCAAAATGTTTCCTGGAGCAAACCAGAATGTTGTACCTGCTTGGGGTCAAATAGTAACAGTGGTCCCTGAAAGTCTACCCATTTCTGGAGACTTATGAAGTCTGAATTCTGTGAAATGAAGCACATAAGCAGTGCTCCTATTAATGCATAGACACATATGCGCCATAAGTAGCTTCACTCTGTTAGATAACTCTTTCAGAATAAGGGAGGTCTATTTTTCCTAATTGGTTGGGTGGTTGGAAGGACCTTTCCTTATAGACCCCTAAGTTATGTCTCAAAKTAAACCATCTTGCTACATCATTTCAAGATTCATAGAATTTTTAGCTATTCTGGAGAGGTTTGGCTCCTATGCACATGGGATGGAATGGTACTGAAATCATGAATCATGGTCACAAGTAGAGATAGGCATTTTCAGCAGCTAGTTATTAAAAAAATAGATTTTAAGTTTTACCTTTTTTTAAGGTCAACTTTCTAGTTCTAAATTTTAATGTCAAATGGTGCTAGATGGGTAATACCTCAGAAACKTAGCAGTGCAAAGGTGCAGATTATTGTCACACAGTCTCATCAACAAAGTTTTGCAATTTGGGTATCATGCCGGATATTATTTGTCAACAACGGCTATTTTAAATAAGAACTTTTGACTAATGATATGAATACCATCCTAAATTCCATGGCTCTATTTGCTTAAAAATAAACCTGGAAATCAAATTGATTTACTAAAATGAAATCTGTGCTGCAGACAGTCTCTTCAACTATCTCTTACCTTTCTCTCTCCTGAACAGTCTGCCAAATATGTGGCATACCCTTTGCCCTTCCTGTTAATCAAAAAGAAATTTTAAAACTTGCATTATTTTGCAGAAAAAGGAGGCTAAATATTAAGGCATAAATTAAATACATAATACCCACAGACAATTGATTGAGATTACCACTGTCCTAAGAATAGGAGATACGTAAATAGACTTCCCACAAAGAACTTCCTTATAGTAAGTGGTGCACAGCTGTGTCAGACATTGCATTGACGAGCACTAATGACTGTCTGGAAAAACTGCATACAATATCTTTTACTTGTGAATATTGACATAGAGGCAACTATTTTTATTTACAGCTSTCCACGTACAGGGAATGTTATTGGATACAGGTATGACGAACACMCATTTTTCCTAAGCATTGGGCCAATTACTTCAACAGATTTGCCTCTTCCTCTCATCCTTCCAGAAAGCCACATTGGAAGCACCAGTAATCTTCCATCATTAGCACTGATGACCAAATTTCTCCACCAAGTAAAACCCTAGGAGAGAGTCATAAGCAGAGAAGAAAAGCTGTTCTCTGCTTGCTGTCTCTGCAGACCAAGCTCATGCTGATTTTAACTGGCAAGCAAGATCAGAGAGCTCAGGGTTGACGTAGCAGCTGTGTCCTGTTTTCATATCCAAATGAAGCAATCACAGAAACTCAGCAACACAAAGGAATGGAGGGAGCCAGATGCGAGTCTAATGAGTAAACAGCAGGGAGTAAGCTCCAAACCTTGAATGTGCTTGTTAATCAGAGTTCATATCTTTGGCAAATAAGCTACTTACACATATTTCTAAATAACTCTCAAAACCTGTGAATATGTATGCCTGGACCTGCAAGTTTCACTTAAAGCATCATTATGGGATTAACTGCTTTAGGGCAGTTAAAACACTTTTGAATTACTTGGGAATTACATTTTTGCTCTTCCTCCAGTAACTGATGAAAGCTTCTGCTATTGTAGACCCAGCACAAACACAGTCCCTGTGCAATCATCTTCTGATTTTAAGAACGAGTAGTTTACTGGAGTTAACACAACTCTACTGCTGCTCATCTTGGAACTCAAGCCAAATATCCAACCAAGACATTTACAAAAACCCAGCTCTTATTTGGTCATTCTGACAAAGAGCATAGTCAGTTTTTTCTTTTCTTTTTCTTCCTCCTCAATGTAAATTAATAGAATCTCTAAATATGGCAGTTCTTCATGGGTTACTCAAAAACCTCTTTGCTAAAACATTGTTATATTTCATGCACTAAAAGYTGAAATAAACAATTTCTATTACAGAGAATAATTCAGATAATCTGATCTGATGCCTCAAAAATAGTGTAATAGTAGGAGGTTTTTTTTCTGCTAGAAATAAATGTAAACTATTAATAGAATTAAATACCACCTTCATTTTAACTCTTCAACGTTTTATCCAATATGAGACCTCAGCTGGCCAAAAACACTAAGTTCAAAAACATCTATCAGTGCAATAGCACTGGGTGGATCCATCTTGTGAACACTGCCAATTTACAGTGAAACAATTTAAGCAACTAGTAATTTCCTAGTCTCACATGACAAATTACTGAGTGACATAAACACATGAAATTCTAGCATAAAGTCAGAAAAGAGGCAAATCCAGGCAGGCTTGTTTATTTTGTCACCTCCTAATGTTGGGTTCATTTTCTGCCGCATTAAGTTTCTCTGTTCCACTAAAAAGGAATGAGGAAAAAACAAAAACAGTTTAAAAAAAATGAGAAAGGAACATTTTGTGAGAAGAAAGCAGGACATATTTTCGTTTTCATGCAATGTCTTACTGGCTGAAGCAATACTTCCTAGTGCTAATAATTATACTCTGAAACAGAACATAAGATGAAAAAAATGCATTCATTACAGCCCTGCTCTTAAGTTACTACTGGCACCTCTGAAATAACCCAGGAGGTTCTGAAGGTGAATCATCTACCATGCTCTGATAGACCCTGGCAGTGGGAAAAGGCTTATACAGAGATGGCTGAAATGTCCTGAAGGACTTTGCAGGCTTTCTGCTGCAAGGGAAAGACAGTCTTTTAGGAGACAAGTCCATAAAGAAGCTCAATTAAACTAAGAGGGGGGAAAGGTTGAGCGGGAGGTACTGTGAGAACGCTCATTTAGCAAACATCAACGTGTTAGAAAAAGAAAAAAAGAATCTGCTTGGAGTCATTATGAAAACTGYCTGAATATCAGTGCTAGGGGTGTGGGTAATAAACAAAGAGAATCATAATTATGAAATTTGAACAAGTGGGTAGAAAATTTTAAAATATTACTATACTTTCTTAAATGACATAAGCTATTCACGCTGCTCATGACAATGTAATACCCATTTCTGAAGTGATAGGGAATTAGTGCAGGAGATAGTTTTGCCTCCCCTGACACGCACATCAGCTGAATCCTACTGACCTCAATAGGACTTTTCCCCTGACTTTAGGATCACAGCAAAGTTTACACCTCAGTTCATAGTATCACCTTTCAGTGAAATTTTGTGCAATCACCGAGATAGGAAGCAACCCTGCATAGGAGGAACAGAGACGACTGCCCTCGCCTTTTGGGYGACAGTTGTGTGAGTGTCTGCTGAAGCTCCATCCTTCACGACGACATTGCATTTATGTCTGAGGTTGGAGGATGGCTGGAATAAATCAYGCACTGTCAGCTCCTCAGCAGCAAGCCTCTTTATCTGAATAAATGCTATTAATATTCACCTGAACCTAAAGCAAACATGCTAAGAATGATAAATACACATTATTTACTAGTTTCTGTTCAGTTTTTAGCAAACTAAAATTTTTAGCACAAACACTCATTTTTAAGAAATGTTATTAATGGGTATGACATGAATTGTACTTGATTTTTTCATTATTTAATATGATCAACTGAAGAAGGATTCAAACTGAATCAAGTTATCACTCCTAAAAAACATTTGTTTCAGTGCTCAAGGTGCAAAGACTGTCTATAAAGGGAAAAAAGACCCATGAGATGAAATATTTAGGGGAGAAAAGGGATGAGCTATATTGAAGAGCTTCAGCTGCACTTATTGAAATGCTTAAATAACTTGAAACATCTTCCTTCTCTATTTGTTTTCTAAATTAAGTCAAATATCACTAAAAGATTTACTGTTATAATAATGTAGACTTGTTTTTCTTTGTTCCACCCAATTATAAYTTAACTTTAGGCCAACAGCTGTAATTACTTTGAAGACTTCCAAATTAAAATGACCTTGCAAAAATAAATGAAATGACATGCCTTTTAGCTTTTTTGTGTGTGTGTGTGTGTATGCGTGATCCTGTGTAGTGAATTCTGAGATTTACAGACAGTTCTCAGATTTTCAAACAGTACTAAAGATCACTAGTTTCTCAAAGAGAAGGAGGTTTCTGTACACGTGGACTAAAAAACTGAAACACTGCTTATCAGCCTTAGCATTTGCATTCAGCACAGACTTAGATAGTCAGGGAAATAATCTGTTCTTCCAACCATATAATTTTTACCCAGAGTTAATGAATAAGGCCCTAATCAMAGATGAAATCTGTATCTTACTCTTGCAGATTTTTCTGTCTCTTGTACTTCTTTAACCAATATTAGTCTATTCGGCAAAGGGAATATTTAAGTGTTATTTTAAAACTGAATGAAAACATGCATTTTAACAAAGCTACACACACTTTGTTGTTGTTGTTAGTAGAGCTTATCACCAGCAGCACAGGCACAGACTCGCCTTTCTCCTCCGCTTTCCAATTCTTGTCCGAGTTTTTTTTTTTATTGCACTAGTACTTATGATGCTAAAAACTCAAAAAGAAAATCAAAATCACAAACAGTTGGCAAGGAAAACTCACTACTTAGAAAATTACTTGGGGGCTGCTGGATCTATTACTTCRGAAATTATTGCTGAAAATATTTCAGGAGTGACCTCTCTTCACTGAAGGTTCACAGCTCATCAATTCCCCTCCCCCAAAAAGATTTCTCTCCCTTTAAATTCTYCCCAGCCTTTATTCCTCTCCAAAAAAACTTGTTACTTAGTAGAGGTCATTCTACACCAGCAGCACCAATTCTCTTTGCAATAATCRGCATTCTCTCATCATTCAGTGATTATAAAACTAATATTAAAGTGTGCCTAAGATGACTTTTTCTTTAACAGTATAGGCAGCATTAATRAAGTTTAACAGAATGGACAGAAACCTCACGGGCATTAACAAAACTTCATGGGTACATAAAGAGGTTCTATATCTTGTAAAAATGCATCTGAAAGCAGCGTTGTACCACTCCTGCCATTGGCAATAATGAGGCAATCTTACAGAAGTACCATAACCAGCTGCTAACAGGTTATGGAGCAAGAAATAAAATCAGGCTGTCTTTGCCTACTAACACATGCTAACAGAAAGTTCTAGTCTTCAGTGGCTCAGTTCTGTGCCGTGGAACAACTTTAGCTTGCTGCTCCTAATGTTTTTCCTGTTCACTGTCAAGGTGATCAGAGGCCCCAGCTCTCCTCTGGGGCAGGAATCCACACGGCTGGGTGCAGGGCTGGCACACGGGGCAGGCTGGGGAAGGGTGGGCATGGAAGAAGTCTTGCTCATCTTGCTCCTCTTAAAGGCTTCCTGCRGGAGATGCTCTGTGGAACTTCACTCTTTCTTGTCCAGAACCTGTCACATCTCCTCATGCACATTCACATCCCACCTGGCTGCTGTGCTAATACTACAGCTTTYTCCTGTCCCGGCCGGGCACTATTCTCTCTTCAGTCATATCACACAAGAAAGAAAATCTCTCATTCTTCTAAGTAAACGGTGATATTTAATTCATGCAATGGAATATATTAAAAGACTTTAATGTTTTCAAAATATTCTAAGATAATAACCTCAAATTATTATTAATGAAGAGAGCACCAAATTTACCTGCCCTGGTACACTGACATGCCGATTTTAAAATAACAACACCTTATAAGAAGATAATTTAGGTTCTAGTGACACTCTCCAGTTTTCCACTTTTCTTTCAAAGTACCTAGAACTGGCTAAGCAAAGGCATCCTGCT